GGTACCAGTACTATATCATGCGGTTTTGATTAGTAGTTTAATGCCTCCAGCTTTGTTTTTTTTTTTTTTTTGCTTAGGATTTTCTTGGTTATGCAAGCTCTTTCATGGTTCCATATGAAATTTAGCGTGTTTTTTTTTTTCCTAATTCTGTGAAGAAAGTAAATGGTAGCTTGATGGGGATAGCATTCTATCTATAAATTACTTTGGGTAGTATGGCCATTTTCATGATATTGATTCTTCCCAACCATGAGCATGGACTATTTTTCCATTTTTGTGTGTGTGTCCTTTCTTATTTCCTTGAGCAGTGGTTTGTAGTTCTCCTTAAAGAGGTCCTTTACATCCCTTGTAAGTTGTATTCCTAGGTATTTTATTCTCTTTGTAGCATTGTGGAATGGGAGTTCACTCATAATTTGGCTGTTTGTCTGTTATTGGTGTATAGGAATGTTTCTGATTTTTGCCCATTGTTGTATCCTGAGAGTTTGCTGAAGTTGCTTATCAGATTAAGGAGATTTTGGTCTGAGACGATGGGGGTCTTCTAAATATACAATCATGTCATCTGCAAATAGAGACAATTTGACTTCCTCTTTTCCTAATTGAATATCCTTTATTTCTTTTTCTTGCCTGATTGTCCTGGCCAGAACATCCAATACTATGTTGAATAAGAGTGGTGAGAAAGGGCATCCTTGTCTTGTGCTGTATTTCAAAGGGAGTGTTTCCAGTTTTTGCCCATTCAAAATGATACTGGCTGTGGGTTTGTCACGAATAGCTCTTATTATTTTGAGATACATTCCATTAATACCTAGTTTATTGAAAGTATTTAGGATAAAGGATTGTTGAATTTAGTCAAAGGCCTTCTCTGCAACTATTGAGATAATCATATGGTTTTTGTCTTTGGTTCTGTTTATGTGATGGATTACGTTTACTGATTTGTGTATGTGGAACCAGTCTTGCATCCCAGGGATGAAGCCAACTTAATTATGTTGGATAAGCTTTTTGATGTGCTGTTGGATTCAATTTGCCAGTATTTTATTGTGGATATTCACATCAATGGTCATCAAGGATATTGCCCTAAAATTTTCTGTGTTTCTGACAGGTTTTGGTATCAGGATGATGTTGACCACACAAAATGAGTTAGGGAAGATTCTCTCTTTCTCTATTGTTTGGAATATTTTCAGAAAGAATGGTACTGGTGCCTCTTTGTATGTCTGGTAGAATTCAGCTGTAAACCTGTCGGTTCCTAGACTTTTTTTTGTTGGTAGGCTATTAATTGCTGCCTGAATTTCAGACGTTGTTATTCGTGTATTCAGGGATTCAAATTCTTCCAGGTTTAGTATTGGGAGGGTGTTAGTGCCTAGGAATTGTTCTGTTTCCTTTAGATTTTCTGGTTTATTTGCATAGATGTGTTTATAGTATTCTCCAATGGTAGTTTGTATTTCTGTGAGATATCTCTTTTATCATTTTTATTGCATCTATTTGATTCTTCTCTCTTTTCTTCTTTATTAGTCTGGCTAGTGATCTATTTTGTTGATCTTTTTAAAAAACCATTTTCTGGATTTATTGATTTTTTAAGGTTTTTCATGTCTCTATCTTCTTCACTTCTGCTCTTAGTTGTTTCTTGTCTTCCACTAGCTTTTGAATTTGTTTGTTCTTACTCCTCTAGTTCTCTTAATTGTGACATTAGGGTGTTAAAGTTAGATCTTTCCTCCTTTCCCTTGTAGTCATTTAGTGCTATAATTTTACCTCTACACACTGCTTTAAATGTGTCTCAGAGATTCTGGTATGTTGTGTCTTCATTCTCATTGGTTTCTGATAGCTTACTTATTTCTGACTTCATTTCATTTATCCAGTATTCATTCAGGAGCAGGTTGTTCAGTTTCTATGTAGTTGTGTGGTTTTGAGTGAGTTTCTTAATCCTGAGTTTTAATTTAATTGCACTATGGTCCGAGAGACTGTTTGTTATGATTTCCATTCTTTTGCTATTACTGAGGAGATTTTACTTCCAATTATGTGTTCTATTTTAAAATAAGGGCAATGTGGTGCTAACAAGAACGTATATTCTGTTGATTTGGGGTGGAGAGTTCTGTAATGTCTATTAGGTCCACTTGGTCCAGATCTAAGTTCAAGTCCTGGATATCTGTGTTAATTTTCTGTCCATTGATATGTCTAATATTGACAGTGGGGTGTTAAAGTCTCCCACTACTGTTGTGTAGGAGTCTAAGTCTCTTCATAGGTCCCTAAGAACTTGCTTTATGAGTCTGGGTGCTCCATTGGGTGCATATATATTTAGGATCATTAGCTCTTCTTGTTGCATTTATCCCTTTACCATTATCTAATGCCCTTCTTTGTCTCTTTTGATCTTTGTTGGTTTAAAGTTTATTTTATCAGAGACTAGAGTAGCAACTACTGCTATTTTTTTCCCTCTAAACTCATTATTTCAATTAGCATTTTGTCTAACCTTTTTTCAAGGTTCTTAGCTTCTTTGCTTTGGGTTAGAACATGCTCCTTTAGCCCAGAGAAGTTTGTTATTACCCACCTCTGAAGCCTGTTTCTGTCAGTTCTTCAAACTCATTTTCTGTCCAGTTTTGTTCTTTTGCCAGCAAAGAGTTGTGATCCCTTGGAGGAGAAAAGGTGTTCTGGTTTTTGAAATTTTCGGCCTTTTTGTGCTGTTTTCTTTTCATTGTTGTGGGTTTATCTACCTTTGGTCTTTGAAGTTGGTGACTTATAGATCGGGTCTCTGAGTGGACATCATTTTTGTTGATGTTAAGACTATTACTTTCTCTTCGTTAGTTTCCCTTCTAACGGTCAGGCCCCTGTGCTGCAAGTCTGCTGGAGGTCCACTCCAGATCCTGCTTGTCTGGTAATCACCAGCAGGGGGAATACAGAACAGCCAAGATTGCTGCCTCTTCCTCCCTCTGGTAGCTTCATCCAGAAGGGTACTCATCAGATGCTAGCCAGAGCTTTCTTGTATGAGGTATCTGTTGGTCCCTACTGGAAAGTGTCTCCTAGTCAGGATACATGGGGGTCAGGGAGTCACCTGAGGAGGCAAGAGCTGAAACCCTGTGCTGGGAGATCTGCTCCTCTTTTCAGAGCTGCCAGGCAGGGATGTTTAAGTCTGCTGAAGCTGTACCCACAACTGCCTCTTTTCCCAGGCACTCTGTCCCAGGAAGGTGGGAGTTTTATTTATAAGTCCTTTTTTTTTTTTCAGAGATGCCCTGCCAGTGAGGAGGGAGTCTAGTGACACAGTCTGCCTGAAGAGGTCTTGCTGAGCTGCCGTGGGCTCCACTCAGTTTGAACTTCCCTGCAACTTTGTTTACACTGAGGTTAAAACCACCTACTTGAGCCTCAGCAATGGCTAATGCCCCTCCCCTCACCAAGCTTGAACATTTCAGGTTGAGCTCAGACTGCTGCGCTGGCTGTGAGAATTTCAAGCCAGTGGATCTTAGCTTGCTGGTGTTAATGGGAGTGGGACCCACAGAGCCAGATCACTTGGCTCCCTGCCTTCAACCCTCTTTCCAGGGGAGTGAATGGTTCTGTCTCACTGGCATTCCAGGTGCGACTGGCATATGAGAAAAAAAAAAAACTGCTGCAGTTAGCTTGGTGTCTTCCCAAACAGCTCCAAGTTTTGTGCTGGAAACCCAGGGCCCTGGTATTGTAGGCACTGGAGCAAATCTCTTGGTCTGCAGGTTGTGAAGACTATGGGAAAAGCACAGTATCTGTGCTGGTGTGCAGGGAACAGTCCCTAATGGCTTCCCATGGCTAGAAGAGGGAGTTTGCTGGCCACTGGTGCTTCCCGGGTGAGGCGATGCCCTACTCTGCTTTGGCTCATCCTCCTTGAGCTGCACCCACTGTCCAACCCATCCCAATGATATGAACCAGGTACTGCAGTTGGAAATGTGGAGATCACCCACCTTCTGTGTTGATCTTGCTGGGAACTGCACACCAGAGCTGTTCCTATTTGGCCATCTTGCCATCAACCTCAGGAACCCTTTTTAATGGAATAAAAGAAATACCAACTAGGCCGGGCACAGTGGCTCAAGCCTGTAATCCCAGCACTTTGGGAGGCCGAGGTGGGTGGATCATGAGGTCGAGAGATCGAGACCAACCTGGTCAACATGGTGAGACCCCGTCTCTACTAAAAATACAAAAAATTAGCTGGGCACGGTGGCGTGTGCCTGTAATCCCAGCTACTCAGGAGGCTGAGGCAGGAGAATTGCCTGAACCCAGGAGGCGGAGGTTGCGGTGAGCTGAGATCACGCCATTGCACTCCAGCCTGGGTAACAAGAGCGAAACTCCGTCTCAAAAAAAAAAAGAAATACCAACTAATGTTTCTTCCAGTATTATTACCCCATTATTTCACCAAAATAATTTTCTGTTGGTTTGGAGGAGCAAACTCATTTCCCCTTATATTTAAGGAGGAATGAGAAGCGTTATTAGTATATAAGTTTTGACATGTTTGAAAAAACATCGTGTAACTCTGGTAGAAGTTGAAAATACCTTAGAGATCATGTTATTTGGAGCCTAATTTTACAAACAAAAAACCAGAGGGCTTTAAATACTTAGCTGAGAGTTAAAAACAAACTATAAGCAAACCTGGGAATAAAACAAATCTATTCCCAGTTCATCTAGATTTTAATACCAATTTAGATTTGGGACAACAGATGCAAATCAAGAAAAAGAAAGGTAGGGAGACTTCTGAAAAGTTTGAATATATTCACTAACACACAAATTTGAAGATGATAAACAAATAAGAATCTCTCTGTCCCTTGAGAGCTAGACAAATAGCCCTGCACCTCATCCCTATTCTGGTTTAGGAATTTGAAATGCTGCCTAAGATTCCTGTGAAGTGCCATAGGGCTGGAAGTATAGATACCTATGTTTTGTTAACCTTTGACTCGTGGTCTCTGAATTCCTTTTGTAGTTTCTCTTTCACACCAGGTTGATATCTACATAAAATTAATTCCCCCCTTTTCCCCCAAATAAAAAAAAACACCTCAAAAATATTCATCATCATAGTTAATTTTATTGAAAAACTACAGACCAGCGAAAGTTCTCTTTTGGCAAATATCAGATAAAGTAACTTAAAAATATAATTTCCTGCCTTTCTTTTTCTCAATGTGATGTGTTCCTGCCTTTCTTGGTTATTTTCCTTCTTTCTGGTGCTTCTCCTTGGGTTTCCTTTGCTTGTGCTACCTCTTCTTCTGGGACCAGTGACTTCTGTAAAAAAATATATGAATGTCAATGGATGAATAATAAGTAGCATAGGATATAACACTTATAGTATAGATAGCATTTAGAATATAGATAGCCACATCAGAAGAGGTGCTTACATTTAATAATTTGTTTTTGAGGTTGTGGCATTTTATGTAAAGGGTAGTATCCTTATGTCTTAAACTGTCTTTAAATATAAAGTAGGACAATAATCCATATCTGCCTTTTCTCATTTCCAGCAAAGCAGAATATGTTATCCTTATTCCTGCAGACGCCAGAAATTATCATAAGAATGGCTTCTATTACTTTTGAACCTGAATTTTCTAACCTCATTTTTTTCTGACAATTGCAATAGTTAATAGTATGTTTCCCCTATGTCTTATAACATTGTAGTAGGTTTACATTATCTGAAACATCCTTTACAGGACTATATAATCAAACAGTACTGATCATTGTACCCTTTTGAAGACCCCTTACAATAGCAATGGAAAACAAACATTTATTTATTCAATAAGTTTAATATTAATATGTGTCTGTTATGTGCCTTTTGTCCTTTTCATGTCTATCCTTTTTTGTTTCTATGGTTTCTAGAGCCTATGATATGAGAATTCGTGACACAGTCTTTCTTTTCTTGAAGAAAAGATCTGCCCTTATGTACCAAACGAATGTTGACAAAGGGTTAGGATTTCCAGACAGAGTACATGATGCCTTATTAATTTTGAATTTATTTGATTATTCAAGACATGTTTTTAGGATAAGTACATCATCTGTCAATATCCTATACTTATACTAAAAATGATTTGATGTTTATCTGAAATTCAAATTGTCATATATTTTTAATTGCTAAATCTTACAACTCTACTAGTCTGCATGTTAAAAATATCTCTCCCATGGATTGAAAATTTGTAATTTTTTTTTTCTTCTTTTAGATAGAGTCCCCCTCTGTTGCCCAGGCTAGAGTGTAGTGGTGCAATCTCAGGTATCTCGGCTCACTGCAACCTATGCTTCCCAGGTTCAAGCTATTCTCCTGCCTCAGACTCCTGAGCAACTGTGACTACAGGTGTACACCACCATGCCCAGCTAATTTTTGTATCTTTAGTGGAGATGGGGTTTCACCATGTTGGCCAGGATGATCTGGAACTGCTGGCCTCAAGTCATCTGCCTTCTTTGTCCTCCTAAAGTGCTGGGATTACAGGCATGAGCCATTGTGCATATTCTGATTTTTTTTTTTTTTTTTATGCTGTTAAAGTACATATCTAGTTCGGGTGGTTTTATTGGCCCTTACTGATTTCCTTTAAGATTATCTGTGTTGCTTATTAATTTTGTATCTTTGGCTCATTCAGGACAAAAATAGGGAGAGTGAATTTTTCCTTTTCTAGATCCCTGCATTTTGTTAATCACTTACATTATTTAGTTTACAATTTCACCCTTTAAGTGGCATGATTACATACTTATTTCCTGAAAAATCCTTTAAAAATGATGATTTTATATTGGAATTCAGAATTGAGATCTCTATCAATCAGTTTTTAATTCTCATTAAACATTTAAATTTTGATGACCTATTTTTATTTTCATTGATATATTTTGTGCTTAGTTACTAAGTACAATTATATATTTGAAATAAATAGTATTATTGATGTTTAATCATATTTCTGTCACCTTATCTGGGAAATTTCATAATCATGCAAGAGTGGAAATTAATTTTTGAACTTTGCACGTGGATAACTATATTTTCTGGTTTGTATATATTACAAAATGCCAGAGTCTCTCTTTGAGATATACAAATATATATCTTAGAATATTCTTTTGACTGCTATCCCCACTGTAATCACAAAATTAGTGTTACTTCAAACTCCTGTTTCACTTTTAAAGGCCCATTTTAAGGAATGTTCCACTTGAAGAAATAAATATTTTCCAAAATATCAAAAGAATAAACCCCTTAAATAAATAATTTCTCAAAATTTGTGAAAAAAGTCTGAAAAACAAGGACTGTATATCCCACAGTCTACTTCAACAAATGACGATAGCTTTTAGCTGATAAGCAGAAATCTGTAATCTCAAGGGTTTACTGCAGCAGAACCTCATACGTTTACTTTCAGAATCAAAGTATAGATGGAATCATACAGTTTTGAAAAAATAAAACCTCTTTTATTTATGATCAAGGTCTCTCCTGCTGTATTATGCAAGGAGTCATCTGAGGGTTCTAATACATTTCCTTATATAGCAATTTATTTTTAAGGAATTGGAATTTTAGCTTTAATTTCCTAGTGGCAATTTCATCATTGCCTCTTGAATTAATATATTTTACATGATTTTTCTCATTAGACAAAACACATTTGTTTTGTATGCTTAAAATTTATATATTTTTAAATCATATTGTATAATTTAGCTAGTGTTGTGGCCACTGATGGAACAGACATGAGGTTCTTACACCAAGAAGTTTTAAGATTAGACCAAAAAACAAAATGTTTTTTTGAGGGTGAAAATCAAAGATGCTTATGCAAAATTACACACACAAGAAAAAGAGGTTTTGTTAATGTCATCTTATTTGGAACTTTTTTTTTCACTTCATTTTGGAAACAGAAGAATCCTTCCATTTTGTTCAGATAAATTATGAAAAAGCTATAGGAATCTGGAAAAACAAGTGTATTAATAAATCTAAGTTGAGATAGATAGAATATCATTCAGCCTCTTGAGGAAGATATTAGAGTATATGACCTCTTCAGAAAATTATGATCCCATATGAAAACAACTATAACAAAATGAAATAAAGCAGTTCATGGTTTTAGATAAAGCCCTAACTCTAGAGAGGTCAAAGTAACATGACATGTTCTCTGTCGGTTGGTGGTTACTGTAATCAAAGGTGGTAGCTCTATGTAGAAGAACTGCTAGACATCTATGAGGCTATGTCTTTAAAAACCAATAGTAGGATAAAGTAGAATTCACCTCCACATTTTTATTCATGACCTGCTATTAATTATAGAAATGTAGAATTTGGTATTGTGACTTATCCCTCCCTCAATTTCTTTTAATTGGAAAATAAGGCAGGGGACAAAGATGAGCTTTTGTTCTTGAATGGGAATTCTCACTTACTCTTGACTTTTATAAATAATTTTAAAATCAGTTAATATATTGACATTTATATTTACCTTGCTTGACTCTTCTCTACCTGATGATATTCTTTCAAGTCTTCACATTCATATCTTGTAATATCGTTTGGCACTGTGTCCCCACTCAAATCTATCTCAAATTGTACTCCCATAATGCCCACATGTTGTGGGAGGGACCCCATGGGAGATAATTTAAATCCTGGGGGCAGTTTCCCCCATAATGTTCTCATGGTAGTGAATAAATCTCATGGGTGGTTTTATCAGGTTTCTGCTTTAGCATCTTCCTCATTTTTCTCTTGCCACTGCCATACATGCAGTGCCTTTCTCCTTCCTCCATGATTCCCAGGCTTCCCCAGACATGTGGAACTGTAAGTCCAATTAAACCTCTTTTTCTTCTCAGTCTCAGGTAGGTCTTTATCAGCAGTGTGAAAACAAATTAATACATCATATATACCTATTTTAAGTTTTCTCTCTTTTGGAAGAATATTTGATACATAAAAATAGAGATGAAAGCCACTGTGTGAACTTTCTTATACTGACTGCTATATATTCATGCTACCCCCAGGCACTGAAGGAGCTGTTTTTGGGCACTCTGTGGAGACGCCACACATCAGAGCAGAGCCATCTCAAGATCTCAGGTAAGCATTCCTTTTATACCTGTGCCGTAAATTCCATCATTATTGATAATCCTTAATATATGAAGCAGTAAAATAAACAATTAGTGTTTCCTCCAATGTATTTACAATAAATACAAAACTGAGTACATTACACAGGAAGAATGTGGAAAAGAAAAGGCAAAGGTAGAGTAAGTGAGAGCAACTAATAAACATAGGGTTGCTGAGGCTGGGCACAGTGGCTCACACCTATAATCTCAGCACTTTGGGAGGCCAAGGTAGGAGGATAACTTGAGATGAGATCAGAAGTTCAAGACCTGGCAACATAGTGAGACCCTGTCTCTACAAAAAATAAAAAATAAAAACAAAATTAGCCAAGCATGCTGGTGCACATGTGTAGTCCAAGTTAGGAGGCTAAGACCAGAGAATTGCTTGGGTCCAGGAAGTTGAGTCTTCAGTCAACTATGATCATAGTGCTGTACTCCAGCCTGGGCAACACAGCAAGATACCATCTCTAAAAACAAACAAAAAAAGCAAAAAGGAATGCTGGAAAATCTTATATAATATATAACATATACACATAAAAACAGGGCAAATAGAGAATTGAGAAAGCTACAAATGATCACAGCAGTATATAGCAGAAAATATGGAAGCAAATGGAATCTAATCAGAAAATGGCAGAACTTAATTGGTCTATGAATGGTTCCTCAGTCTAATATTTCCAATAGAATATGCTGCTTCCTGACACTGTGATGGTTCTAAGAGGCATTATATGTAAAAGCTCTTACTATGCAGAAAATTCCAACATTATATGGAATTCTTTCCAGGATCATCATTACTATGGTTGACTACATTAGAAATATTAAAATCTGGATCCCTAATACAAAATTGCTCAGTGGATGGATCCCTAATACAAAACTGCTCAGTGGATGCTTTTAATTCAATACCTAAGATTTGGCGATTAATGATGGCTTAATAATAATTGATTTATGATAACTAAATTACATTCTAAAACACACGATTGTATAGGAAAAGGAAAGACACAAATAGTGCTGATGAAAATTAATCGCATATTAAAAGTCACTTGTAAAATTGGATCAAAGTATTCTGGGTGACACAGTTGCTGTCTTGGGAAGCTATATGTATATATAAAGTTAAAAGACCTTTTTATTTCATATGGATTGGTGTTTATCCCTTCCCATTGGATGACTGTACACATACTCAGATGCAAACAAGAAAATAAAGTTGGAAATCTTTAAGGCAATAAAACCATACTTTTACAACAGTAAATTTTGTAGTCCTTTAGAATTCTGTGATAAAATTTCCTAAAGAACTCAGTTTCTCACTACTTGAGTAATACAGATTCAAACTAGCTAGTGAACAATATTAGGGGAAAAAAAGTGGCCTCCTTCAAGGACCAAGACTTATTTTAGAAGAGCAAAGAAATCCTAGATATTTAGGAGTGCTGAGGAATGTGTGTAAACAGCATCTCATAGGGTGCCGTAGTCTTCATTTATGATGCTTTTTTTCAGGTAGGAATTGAACAACTTTTGCAAAAATGTATCGCATCTTTCTTCTCCTAACAAAATTTCCTTTAGAACAGGATACACATCTCCCTTGTTTATCCTTAGTGCTCTAGCAGCCAGCACTGTATCTTACACATCCTAGCTGCAATAAATGTTTATTTGCATTGCTGAAACTTAGCAAAGCTGAATAATGAGGACATTAACTAAATAAATGGGATATAAGGGAAGTGGCTACAGTTATTATTGTAATTCAGAGACAAATGTGAATAGCACTTTTCCAATTGTTTTTAATCTGTGTTTTAATATAGAAACAGCTGGTTAATTTATTGAAGAAATTTTTTAAAATTATTACTAAATTTATATAAGTATTTTAAAATGTATTTAAATTTATTATAGAAATATTTATTTCTAACATTTTAGTAACATTTTTTAATTTATACTATGTAGAGTCTATCAAAAGGAATAAGAATCAACTGCTACTTTATCTTGCTGACATATTTCAAAATTCATAAGAGAAAATGTGAATATTATAATTAGTATATAGTGTTTCTGGTTTTTATATTCCGATTAGTCATCATTATTTAAACATTGCACTAAGCTGGAGTTACCAGCTAGTTCTCAACGCAGACTGGCAACCCCTAAGATAAGTGTTACTAAATTTCCAAACTGAAACAGAAGTAAAATACAGTAATTATGTAAGTATTCAATTATTTATTTCTGTAATGAAGAATAAAAGCAGTGTGTCTGAGAAAAACTTTACAGGCCTTGCTGACAATTTTCCTTCCAGAGCAGTAAGTACTGTTAGTTGATGCCTAGTTCTAATCAACAAGGTGACATTGGTTGGCCAAGACAATGAAATAGTTTTGGGAGTAAGTATCCATGTTTTCTTTGGTTTTGTTATTGTCAAGAAAAAAAGACTAGGAAAAAAAAGCATTAAAGTTCATTACATTAATAGAATATTGATAATGCTTTGGTGAAGAAATGTAGTGGGTTTCTATAACTTACTTATTCAGCAGATGTTTGGTGAGTGTTTACTATTTCTCAAGTTCTGTGCTAGTTTTCATGTGGAATTTAAAACTGGATTTTCTCAGATTTTGTTTTGTTGCTTTTTTTTTTATACTGTTTTGCAGTATGGAGTCTATATTTTAAAGGGCTAAAACATACATGTTAAAGGGTTAATAGACATAATAGTACATTTGCTCAGAATTGCCCAGTTCTTTCTTTTTTTTTTTTTTTTGAGACAGAGTTTTGCTCTGCTACCCAGACTGAAGTGCAATGGTGCGATCTCGGCTCACCACAACCTCCACTTCCTGGGTTCAGGCAATTCTCCTCCCTCAGCCTCCTGAGTAGCTGGGACTACAGGCACGTGCCACCATGCCCAGCTAATTTTTTGTATTTTTAGTAGAGACGGGGTTTCACCATGTTGACCAGGATGGTCTCGATCTGTTGACCTCGTGATCCACCTTCCTCGGCCTCCCAAAGTGCTGGGATTACAGGCTTGAGCCACAGCGCCCGGCCTTTCTTTTTTATTTCTTACATTAATATATAGTTAAGTTACTACTGTTTGAAGAGTTTATGCACCTATGATAAAAAGTAATGATACTAATTATACAGTGTCCATTTTCCAAAAATTGTTTTGGATCTCAGATTCATTAACTACTCCATGAATAAGAAAATAATCTCCACTTGGATTCCATAAAATGAATTAATATTTAACCATATAGTTGGCATCTTTTCATAATTCTCATTCTTGCAAAAATGCAGCTTAAAACAAATATTAAGACTTGCAGGTTTCGAGTTAATCTCTAGAAACACATAGCTCACATACACATCATTAATGTACTCAAACAAAAAATATCCATTTATTAAGCAGTCAGGATTTTGTCCTGAGACATTTCTTAAATAAAGGTGTAAATCACTTGGCTGATGTTCTGCCTATGAGAAGAACATTGTGATAAATAGGATTTTTGCTTTTCTTCCCTTTCCTTTTCCTTCCCTTTGTTTCTTCTGATGTTTAAGTTCTGCTTAAGTTAGTATTTAATAATTGCATCTTGCAACTTAGGTTCTCTTAAAATCTGAATTCTCTCTTCTCAGAATGTTGAGAACTCTAGAGATTTAGGCCACAGATTTTTATATTTGATAGTTTCATAACACCTTAAAAACACTATCTTGTTGCATCGTTGGTATATAAACACCACAAACAAACAGAATGCTTTACAAAACAGGTGGTAGAGAGACTTGAGTTAAATTTAATCCTTCTTTCTGCTATAATAATCCTAGCTACCCACTGTGAAAGCTAGTCTGAAACTCACTGCCATATTTGCTATAATGCTTTCAAAATGAATACAATTGTAATTCACTAATTTAATTGACAAATTACATAGAAATCCACAAGTAATGCCAATAAACCTGGCTTTTTTTTTTCAACAGGCTTTTTCAGAGAATATTTTATAATAAAGTGAATAGTTTAATTGAAAACCTCTACTATAAGTCAGATAGTCTGCAAAATCCTCCTCAGTGAACAAGAGAGTTTCCCTACAAGAGAGAAGTGGGGCAATATTTATTTGTTGATACTGTGCTGCTAAGAGTCTGTTTACTAGGTAGTTCCAGAATGGTTGTATATCAGGGGTAATCAGTGATAAAACATACATTTTAGCATTCAAATTTTGACATTTAAATACGATGCATAAAATGCTAATAGTAAATTTTATAAGTTAATAGGATTACGAGTGCTTCAAGTTTTCAAATATTCTATGGAAAATATGAGGAATTTTGTTAAAAAAATACAGATGTTTCTTAAAAATAGATATATTCAAAACCTCACCACTCCAGGGATTATACGAAGATAGATGTCCAAATGGCCCATAAGGATTAAAGTTTTAAAGCTGCTTTGGTGAGTGAAAAAAAGAGAAAATGAAAGGTCGAAACCACTTCTATATGCTGGCTCTACTCCTTCAGTATCACTTTTAAGCCTTTAAGTATGCTGTCCCTGCTGAGAGGGAGCTGAACTCCAGAGACCTAACCATTTGATGTGGTTCTTTCTACAAAACAACTCTGAATTCATTGCCTCAGAAAACAAAAACAAAACTAGTTGCACTGGGCAAGAGTTTGAATGTGAGTCTGAGGATACCCTTGTCTTAAAGTCCTGTGCTCAAGGGGAGCACAGGCAGCTGCATCCCCAAGGCAGAGAGCTGATCTAAAAAGTCCAAGGTATGGATCCTACCTCTTCTCAAACTAGGACTTTTTACCACTGCATTCTAGCTCCTGTATTCTGTCACTTTGGCTTTTTTCCTAGTATTACATTTGTAGATAATTTGAAAACTGCCTCCCAACTCTTTTTTTTTGTAGACATGACTGTCTAAAACACTTGTTTTTTTACCATCGTGATTTATGTAGCCAACCTTCAATCACATTTGTACTTGTATATTACCCTCCTATTGATTTTTGTTTCCCAGACTGATGTCAGTCATTCTGTAGACATTTCACTGAGCCAAAAGAGTCAGTTGATGTAGGAAATGTCTTTTTCATTAATGAGTACTCTGAAAATTTTTGAGCTCACAAAATTCTGACTGTACGTGCCTGAAAGTTTGCAATATTAATGATTTTCATTAAAGCATTTATCTTTACAAGATAGGGACTCTTTATGGAGGAACATATACATCTACATCCTAAATTGTAGTAATTTTTTTTATTAAACCTTCATCATTAATATTAGTGTTCTATTAAAAATGTTAGCAAGTATACTTATCACACCCTACTTTTCATGAGTATTGAGGGAAATGACAAACCATAAATAAATCATCATGGTGAGAATAAATACTTTATGTGAATAAATGTAGATTTGTATAAAGAGCCAAAAAATAGGTAAGTCCATAAAAACATTTTCTAAAACTCATTTTATCTTTGCTTAAAATGACAGGACTCTTTATGCCTGTCTGGTTTGTATGTTTGTCTGGTGGTTCTTTTAAGTTGGGTAATGTGGTCTCTTGGTTTATCAAAAATTTTCTTTTCTATTAGTGATTTTTTGTTTGTTTTTCTCTTAGGCTTGAATCACCCACCAGATCCTTGATCATGGAAGCTCCTCGTGGGGTCCAGGTGAGTGCTGCTGCAGGAGACTTCAAGGCCACCTGCAGGAAGGAGCTCCATTTGCAGTCTACAGAAGGGGAGGTGAGTCCTAGAAGGTGGACCCTGGCCCTTTACTGCTGAGGGTGCACCTTTTCAAATTATATGCATATGGTTCCAGGGGAAGCATAAAGAAGTGCTTGGTGGGAAAGTTTAAGTTACAAAAACATGTATCTTGAATAGGAATTTAATACTGCTTGAATATGAAATTTGGTAACCTAATGTTACTTTCCTAAGTTACAACTCCATTTATTTTCTACTGAGAGATATTTCTTCACAAGTCAATTATAAATGGGATGTCCAAATACTTGTATTTTCAAAATGAGCAGATAAATATATCACAAACATATCAAGAATAATGACAGTCCATTTTCCTTTTTATATTTGTGTTATATTTTGTATTCATAAAGTTATTCCAGAAAGCACTTGGTTGTTTGTTTCCATCGAAAGAGTACCATCATTTATCTAGAAGAAAACCAATGTTGCACTGTTTATGAATGACATTTCCTGGATAAGGATAGAAACAATGTTTTTCTTCCATATACCCTTTCTCTCTCAAGCATTTCCTTTAAATTTTCTTGCTGCTCCTTTAGACACCATTTATGTTTTTTCTCTGTTGTAATTAACACTTTGTCTTTGGTGTTCTGTTCTTCCACTGTAAAGTGATAAGTACACACGCACTTTATTTACCTTACTTGCTATATACAATTCTTTTATCTGCAGAATCACATTTTTGTCAGTTCTGGAAATTCCCATTATTTCTTCATATAACCTCTCCCTCATTTTTCTATCTTTTTCCTGAAACTCTGGACATAACTTTTCATTTTCACACCTTCCCCATCTCTATTTCTTTATCTTACTGTATATCATGCTACTGAATTATTCAGGTCTATAGTTTCAGGAATCTCCCCAGTATCTAATCGCTTATTTAATCCATACACTGAGCTTTTAAATTTTAGTGATTATGTTTTTAATTTCTAGCATTCTTATATTTTCATTTACAGATCTGCCTAGACATCTTGGCAGATGTCTTCACGCTTGCTCGTTGTTGTTTTTTTTTTAATTATAATTTAAGTTCTGGGGTACATGTGCAGAATGTACAGTTTTGTTATAGATTTATACCTATGACATGGTGTTATACTGCACCCAACACCCCATCAGCTACATTAGATATTTCTCCTAATGTCATCTATCCCTTAGTCCTTCACACGCTGACAGGCCCCAGTGTGTGATGTTCCCCTCCCCGTGTCCATGTGTCCTTATTGTTCAACTCCCACTTATGAGAGAGAACATGCAGTAATTTGGTTTCTCTTCTTGTATTAGTTGGCTGAGAATGATGGTTTTCAGCCACATTCATGTCCCTGCAAAGGACATGAACTCATTCTTTTTTATGACTGCATAGTATCCCATGGTGTATATGTACTACATTTTCTTTGTCCAGTCTCAGTCTATCATTGATGGGCATTTGGGTTGGTTCCAAGTCTTTGCTATTGAGAATAGTGCTGTGGTAAACACACCTGTGCATGTACCTTTATAGTAGAATGATGTATAATCCTTTGGGTATATGCCCAGTAATGGGATTGTTGGGTCAAATTATATTTCTAGTTGTGTATCCTTGAGGAATAGCCACACTGTCTTCCACAATGGTTGAACTAATTTACACTCCCACCAACAATGTTAAAATGTACCTATTTCTCCATATCCTCTCCAGCATCTGTTGTTTCCTGATTTTTAATGATTGCCACTCTAACTGGCATGAAATGTTATCTCATTCTAGTTTTAATTTGCATTTCTCTAATGACCCATGATGATGAGCTTTTTTCATGTTTGTTGACTACATACATGTCGTCTTCTGAGAAATGTCTGTTCATATCCTTTACCCACTTTTTGATGGGGTTATTTTCTGTAAATTTGTTTAAGTTCATTGTACATTTTGGATATTAGCCCTTTGTCAGATGGGTAAACTGCAAAAATTTTCTCCCATTTTGTAGGCTGCCAGTTCACTCTGAGGATATTTTCTTTTGCTGTGCAGAAGCTCTTAAGTTTAATTAGATCCCATTTCTCTATTTTGGCTTTTGTTGCCATTAATTTTCATGTTTTCGTCATGAAGTCTTTGCCCATGCCTATGTCCTGAATGGTTTTGCCTAGGTTTTCTTCTATGTCTTTTCTGGTTTTAGGTCTTACATTTAAATCTTTAAATTAACATTGAGTTAAATTTTGCGTAACATGTAAGAAAGAAATCCAGTTTCATCTTTCTGCATCTAGCTAGCCAGTTTTCCCAACACCATTTATTAAATAGAGAATCATTTCCCCATTGCTTGTTTTAGTCAGGTTTGTCAAAGATCAGACCATAGTAGATGTGTGGTGTTATTTCTGAGGCCTCTGTTCTGTTCCATTGGGGTGTGTGTATATATACACACAAACAGGTGCCAGTACTATATATGTGTATACCAGTACCATCTGTGTGTATATATACTGGCGCATATATATACACACACACACAAACAAACATATACATGGTACTGGCACTAGTACTGTGTGTGTATATACACACATACAGTATGTGCCAGTATATATAACGTGTGTATACACACACGTGCCAGTACATTATGTGTATCCCAGTACCATGTGTGTGTGTGTGTGTATATATATATACACACACACAGGTGCCAGTACCGTGTGTGTGCATATATATATATATACACACACAGGTGCCAGTACAATGTATGTATATACATATATAGGTGCATACCAGTACCATCTGTGTGTATATATACTGGCACCTATATATATATATATACACACAAACATATACATGGTACTGGCACATACTTTGTGTGTGTATACACACACACAGTACTAGTTCCAGTACATATAACGTGTGTATACACACACACACGTGCCAGTACATATATATGTGTATACCAGTACCATCTGTGTGTGTGTGCATATATATATACACACACAGGTGCCAATGTATGTATATACATATATAGGTGTATACCAGTACCATCTGTGAGTGTGTGTGTATATATACACATACGTATACATACACATGGTGCGTGTGTGTATGTATATATATATATATACACATGATACTGGCACCTGTATATATATGCACACACACATGCCAGTATGTATATACATATATATGTGTATACCAGTACCATGTATGTGTGTGTATATATATAACAGTACCATGTATGTATATACATATATATACACACACACTCACAGATGGTACTGGTATACACATATGTGTATATATATATTAAAAATGTGCCTGTATGTGCTTGTATATATAACATGGGTGTGTTTATATATACATATACACACACACACCCGTGTATATATACACACAGAGATGGTACTGGTATACACATATATATGTATATACATACATGGTACTGGCACCTGTGTGTCTGTGTATATAAATATATATAGGTGCTAGCATATATATATATATACACACACACAGATGGTACTGGCATCTGTGTGTTTGTATATATTACACACACACACACAGTACTGGTGCACACCTATATATGTATATAGATACATGGTTCTGGCACCTGTGTATGTATGCATATATATATATCTTTTGGTGCCAGTACCATGCTGTTTTATTCTTTGTAGCAGTTGTGAATGAGAATGAGAATTCACTCATAATTTGGCTGTTATTGGTGTATAGGAATGCTTCTGATTTTTGCAAATTGATTTTGTATGCTGAGACTTTGCTGAAGTTACTTATCAGCTTAAGGAGATTTTGGGCTGAGATGATGAGGTCTTCTAAATATGTAATCATGTTATCCACAAACAGAGACAATTGGACTTCCTCTTTTCCTAGCTGAATACCCTTTATTTCTTTTTCTTGCCTGATTGAGCTGGCCATATTGAATAGGAGTAGTGAGAGAAGGCATCCTTGTCTTGTGCTGGTTTTTAAAGGGAATGCTTACCGTTTTTGGCCATTCAGTATGATACTGGCTGTGGGTTTGTCATAAATAGTTCTTACTGTTTTTAGACATAGTCCATCAGTACCTAGTTTATTGAGAGCTTTTAGCATTAAGGGCTGTTAAGACTTGTCGAAGGCCTTTTCTGCATCTGTTGAAGTAATCATGTGTTTTTTGTCATGGTTCTGCTTATGTGATGGATTACATTTATTGATTTGCATATGTTGAAGCAGCGTTGTATCCCAGGGATGAATCCACCATAGTGGTTGATATGCTGCAGAAGAAATGGTACCAGCCAGTGTCATACTAAATGGGCACAACTAGAAGCATTCCCTTTGAAAACTGGCACAGGTCAAAGATGTTCTCCATCACCCCCGCTATTCAACATAGTATTAGAAGTTTGGCGAGGGCAATCAGGCAAGAAAAGAAAGAAAGGGTATTTCAATTAGTAAAAGAGAAAGTCAAATTGTCTCTATTTGCAGAGGACATGATTGTTTATTTAGAAGACCCCATTGTCTCAGCCCAAAATTTCCTTAAGCTGATAAGCAACTTCAGCAAAGTCTCAGCATACAAAATCAGTGTGAAAAATCACAAGCATTTCAATACACCAATAACTGACAAATGGAGCCAAACCATGGCTAAAGGAGAGGACACAAACAGATGGAAAAACATTCCATGTTCATGGTTAGGAAGAATCAATATTGTGAAAATGGCCATGCTGCCCAAAGTAATTTATAGATTCAATATTATCCCCATCAGGCTACCATTATCTTTCTTCACAGAACTGGAAAAAAACACCTTAAACTTCACATGGAACCAAAAAAGAGCCCACATAGCCAAGATAATTCTAAACAAAAAAATGAAAACAGCTGGAAGCATCATGCTACCTGACCTCAAACTATACTACAAGGCTACAGTAATCAAAACAACATGGTACTGGTACCAAAGGAGAGATATAGACCTATGGAACAGAACAGGGGCCTCAGAAAAAACTCCACACATCTACAACCATTTGATCATTGACAAACATGACAAAAACAAGCAATGGAGAAAGAATTCCCTATTTAATAAATGGTGTTGGGAAAACTGGCTAGC